AGTCACCTTTAACCCTGATGTAGACTGCAGATTACAAGCAGCAATCAATATGAAAGTGAAGTGATGGTATCACTCATGAGTGTGCAAGCAATAATTCACAAACTATCATCTCCGAAAAAAATCACTAAGTGTGGCCCTTACCAAGCAATAACTTAAATTATTAGAGTCAAGTGGGAAGATTCCAAAAGAAAAAGCTGCAAGTTCTGCTCCAGAGAAGTTTCACGCTTAGTAAACGAACATCATGGAAAATACAAATGTTGTTCCCTCAACTGCAGCCCACCCTAGTCTACTCAAACTTGCAATAATACTAGTGAATAAACTGGAAAATGCTGGGACTTTTTTTTTGGAAAACATGCTATATAACTTTACAATTTCAAAATTTTCTTCCCTATAGTGAAGGACAGCCAGAGTTGGTTACTGTACAGAACTTTATAATTAAAAGGAAAGTCAGCTCTGTGTAGGATAAAGATAACTTAACCTGAATCGACATCCCAAAACTTGGTGGAATGTTGTTAAGAAAACACTGAAGTAGAATCATTCATGATTCTCTTAGCTTTCAAATGATTAAGTTACATGTAGCCTGAGCAGATCATTACAGCTGAACACATCAGTGAGCACTCTCACATGCATATTAGGTGCTGTTAGTGCAACCTCATTTCTGACATAGACAGACAGAGTAGTTGTGGAGAGAAAGAGTGCTATTATTCACAGGGCCCGAGAGAAGGTTATCAATAGGCACAGTAGAGAGAAAGGGACAAAAATCAAAAGAAGGAAAGGCAGTAGCCTAAAAAATACTTCATTAAATTTCTAAGTCCTCAAGCCATCCAGTTTAGCTCCTTCTGCCACTGTTGAATCAGCCTCTAACCGCAAGGTGAAAAAGTTCTGCTGTTCCCATTGCAATACCCTCAAGTCTTCCCAAAAAGGTGTTATAGTTGGTCCTATCTAAGTTTTTTTAAAGAAAAATATTTAGGAATATGCCACAAGTCTAATGAGAAAAATATTTTGAGGGGTAGAAACAAGAGTATTTCAATGTTATAATCTTGGAAGGAATGGAATAAGGGAAAATTTGGGATAAGCAGCCCTTAAGGAAGTTGCAGACTAAGAGAAAATGGCGACGGTTGGGGGTGGGGAAAGATTTCCTTTTTTAGCTCTCAGACCAACCTCACAAAACTTGATTTTTCTGTTTGCTTTATATGTTTTCAGAATCATGATTTCAGATTTGGCTATAAAATAAGGCCCTTGTATTGTGACACGTAGCTCATATTCTGCTCTCTGCCTGAGCAGGGTTCAGAATGAAACTGGTTTTCTTGATAGCACCATTAGTAATAATAATAAAATTATCCACACGCAACTCACATGATTGTATCAAGAGCAGTCACTGTACATGTATGAGTCAAAAGACTAAAGTTTCTTGTCTGTTTTAAGTGCATAGATGTTCACCAGATGAGTAAATTACTACAGCAAGCAAAAGCAGTTAACAAAGAAAATTAAATGTGCCAGAAAATTCAATATATTATTTCAAAATTTACAGCTCAAAGAATGAAAGTCTGATGAGGAAAAATTAGTGCTGGTAAGGAAGCACTTCAAGGTGATCCTGGGATTGGAAGGCTGTAAACTTCTTTCAAAACATCTCCCACAGATATTTACCTGTGCTGAGCTGAAAGATAGTTTGTAAAAAAGCAAGGGGACTTTTCCATGGTTACACCCTATGGATACTTAGTAATGGGTAGGGGGCAACTCAGTGTGGTTATTTGGTCTTCAGTTTTTGATTACTGAGATCGAGACATAGCTCACCAACCATTTGCTAACCATAGAAAAATGATGCTTCTTCCTAACACAGTGACCTCAAAGCCTACCCCAGAAAACATTAGTCTGCCTTCATCCGAAATAAAATTCTGCTTTACAAAACAGACAAACCGCTCTTTGTAATGTACTCATTAAAAAAAAAAAAGCTGCTTGATAACTGGGAAATGGAGTGGAGATAAAAAGAGAAATTCATAAAATGACTTATCTTGAAAAAGGTAGGTAAAAGCAGGATTTACCAATCTCAAAGCACTAATAAAATATAACTTATTTAGGGAGACTACAACACACTACTAAAAGAAAATATGCTTTTCACATTGGAAAGTTTCTCTAAACCCCAACTCTTATTCCTACATGGATTATCTTAGGCCCCAACTTTCAAGAATAAACTTTTGCAATATTGTTTGTGCTGCTCACTGAGATATAAGCGGTTCTATTTCTGTCAAGGGGGCCAGCAGTCAATTAGCTCAGTCTTTGATCTCTGCAAGAAGACAGCTCCATAAAATACCATCAGGGTTGCAAACAAGTCCCATCATTTTTTATTATTTTTTTCTGTTCAAAACACACTCTAAATAAAGTAAAACTAGAACCAACTTGGGCTTCTGTCCTGCTCTCTACAGAAACTTTATTGACATCTAATAACACAGAGTTATTGGGGAAATTATTAATGTTTCAAAAAATCTCTCCACCAATTAACTAATGTCCATAAGCATAGTTATGCAGTTGGAAAATAAAGGAACCCAACAGGTTTTTGAAAGCCTCTAGAGTTTTGAGACATACAGTTAGCACATAATGCATGCAATAGAGAAGAAGGAAGTTATGGTGGATTTAAAAAATCTACTGCTTTTCATCAAATTGTGTTCCTAAAATGTTAAGGGAACAAAAAGCAAGAAAATATTTCAACTTTTAGTGTGGAACTGATTGCATCCTGATTAAATTGAATAATTTTTAAGAAGCTTACTTATTCAAAGATTTTCTGTATCCTAGCAATAGAAATTGTGAACTCAAATAGCATAAATATCAGTTTTACCTTTTACTGGACCTTTCATACCCAGTTCTACAATCACAAACTAGGAAAAATGAAATCTTGTGCTTTTTTGGGTACTGTTACATTCTCAGTAATTGCACAGTGTGAAGGAGGAATCAAGCAATGATGATCTCCCTAATAGAGAAATATTTTCCATTAAGACTTAGAATAAAATCAGCAAGCTTGTTATAAATCTGATTGAAAGAACTTTTTGCTCTCTATAGCTGCTTGGTCCAAATTTAGGTTGTGTTTTTGAAGACACATGTTCCTAAGCAAACAAGAGTTTCCTCTCTGCAAATTAAGTGGTAGGACATGCAGAAGATGTAAGTTTCCAATGATTGAGTGTAGCATCATTGTCAGTCAAGAAACACCTTAAACATTTCCCCCCAGATTAGAAGAGGGATTTCACTCTACTGACCACCATATGGAAAAAAAGTTAACTTTACCAAGTAAATCTGTGCTCATAAAATGAACACCTTTTATACCCCAGTATAACCCACTGCAAAATAAACACTCTAAATTCACTGGAAAATACTTTGATGATATTACAAGAACCCTTTGAAAATCCTGTAAGCTAAACCATAAAAGCCTCATAGAAGGTGAAGCCTAAGAAGAAGCTCTATCTCTGATATCAGGAAAATACTTGTTTATGAAATCATATCCTCCTCTGTCTTTTCTAACACTTTTACTGTCCTCCAAGAACAGAAGCACAGATTAAAGGAGGAAAACTGTTACATTTTAAGTCACTAAACAAGTATGTGAAGGCACACAAATTTTGAAAAGTCACAAATGAAAGAAAATAATTATGCAAACACAGAACAAGTCCATACAGTCCTCAGCTCAGCACCTGATCGGCGACCTGAGTAATTCTCCAGTAAATACTCTCTCTCTCACCAGATAAAGGAATCTCTTAACTTGCTGAGAAAAAAATCTTCAACATGGTCTCTGAGAAACTCAAAAACCGCAAGAAGGAAGAATTTTTAATAAGCAAGATGAAATTGCTGGCCACTCGTTACATACTCTAATTAAAACTCTCAGGCAAGATTATGGCTCATAGGTCACATGCAATTCTTGCTCGATTTGTTACCATCACCAACTGATGTTTTTAAAATGCAAGCATGTCCTCAAAATAAAGGAATATAATCAAGTGCCTTACTATTCCCTCCCCAGTTCAGATTTCTGAGCACACTAGAATAGCTAGAAATGCAATTTTTTTTCTCCCAACACTTTCATAAATTAGATTCAAATCTGATCAAATATTCATTAAAAGAATATTCTCCATCGTGTGGAACTGAAGCAAAGCTGAAGTAGCGGCTGTGGATTTGTTATAATACACAGCTAGAATAAACATTTTGCAAGAGAAAACAGACCCAAGCAATAGTTTCCAACTTAATCAAGCAATGATGAGAAAGTAGTAGTGGTAAAGCTTAACCAGGCTTTACCAAGAAATTTACTCCTGTACCTGCTCTAAATGTGCCTAGTTGGATTCTACTCACTGACCTCCAGCCCTGGATAAAAAATGTCCTCAGTTACTTCCAGGGAAAAAATATCACTCCCTCACACAGGGCCCCTGGGAACCCAGAAAATACCTTCTTTGGCTAACCCGGAATTCCATTCTCTCTTTGAAAGACACGGAGCTCAAAACGAAGCTTTGAACTCTTGGGTCGGTCTTTTCCAGAGACTGGATATGGACTGAAAGGTGAACTATAACAGACCCAAAGAGGAGCAACTGCCCATATTTCTTCTGATCGAAGTCCTAGCGCTTTGAGGTGGGAAAGGGAAAAAAGCAGTGGAGGAATTATAGGCTTCTTCTCTGAAAGTGATCTGTGCAATCAAGTTTCAAGTTTTGAGCCCGCGGGACCCAGAGTGCCAAGAGGTAGAAAGGATTTTAGGCTGCTGAGGGAGCTATATTTTGGAAGGGCATTAACCAGTGCCTACGGTGAAAAGCAAGGACTTGGAACCCTCTGCTTAAAACTTTGACAGGCCAAGAATAACACGAAAGGCTTCAGATTTAGTGCATCCTTTTCCTTTCCTACATAACTGGGCTGAGATCTCTGAGTCAGTCTAAAGATTCACTGGGGGAAGAGTGGCTAAATAGGAGATTCCCAAGAAAGCCAAGTGACTCTGTGCCTTGGGCCTAAAGGTTATATTTCTGAAAAGAGAAACTTACCGCACGTCTCCATAAGGTCCGGAGTAGCTCTCCATCCAGGGTCCTATTTCGCTTTTGACACAACTGGGACTAGGATAGGGCACTCTACCGGCCATGCCACCGGGGTACCACATATCGGGTGCAGGGAAATCACCTTCCTGTCCCGCCAGCCCCTGAGGTGGTCGAGAGTAACCATAGGGGGCTACAGCCCCTGTCTCGCTTGTACTGCCGCCGCCACCCCCTCCACAAGGTCCGTACAACTGGCCTTCTTCGGTTGTGAAAAGAGTGTGCCATGAAGATGAGGCAGTGGCTGAGGGTGACCCGGAGCTGGGTCCTGCGGCACCCCCACCATGCAGGCTTGCCAGGTCTCCATAGCGGCACTGCGCAGCTGCAGCTGACCAGGCGCTGCTGTAGTCCAGCGGGTTCTCCAGTTTGATGCGGGCGTTCGGATGGGGAGGTGGTGGAGGGGGTAGCGGAAAGTTGTAGTAGTCGCGATTCTGGTACGATGCTGCCTCGTCCAGGGCTCCAGACTTGTAGAGAGACAAGGTGGGTGGCAGTTCAAGTGTCCCAGAGCTCCCTGCATCACCGCTGCCAGAGCAGCCCAGGGTTTCACCTTCTAGACTTTTGGAGTAACCTCCCTTGAAAGAGGAATATTCAACAGTCTCTTCAGTGCCCTTGTCTGGACTGTCATTCAGTAGAGAGCCTTTGCATTCCACCAAGGAAGCACAGTGAGTGGGTCGCACAGGAGGTGGACCTCCCAAAAGTGGTGCATACATACAGTCTCCCCGAAGCTGTTCCCCAGGACTCAGATGGTCCAATGCCTCCACACCCAAGCCCATGGACACAGATACTGCCTTACACAACTCCTTGGCACTGTCAGATATGGTCGAATTGACCCCTAGGTAACTGTCCTTGGAAGAGGTGGCAGCCCCAACTGCCTCTCTGGCTCTCCCGCTGCTGCCGGTTTCAGATACCACTTCCAGCTGCTGCTGTTGCTGCTGCTGCTGCTGCTGCTGCTGCTGTTGCTGCTGCTGCTGCTGCTGCTGTTTCTGCTGCTGCTGCTGCTGCTGCTGCTGCTGCTGCTGCTGCTGAGGCTGAGGCTGAGTCTGAGACTGCTGCTGCTGATGATGATGAAGGAGCTGCATGGTGCCGGCTTCGCTCAGGATGTCTTTAAGGTCGGCGGAACAGCTGCTTAAACTGGGGAAAGTGGGGCCCAGCAGAGACAAAGTGGATGGGGCAGCTGAGTCATCCTCGTCCGGAGGTACTGGAGGCTGCTGCGGCAACCCTTTGCTGGCAGGCACAGAGGTTCCAGGCTCTGAGATGCAGCCCCTCTCAGGGTGGCCCTCAGGGGTCGACTGCTGTGGTGCAGGCTGCCGTTCCTCCTCCAGGGCCAGGTAGCCTGTGGGGCCTCTGATGTGAGCTTGGGGAGAGCCATTCTCACTCTGCTGCGGCTGCTGAGGGCTGGTCTGCTGCTGCTGCAAATGGGCGCTCGGAGGTATTGCGTTATCGGCCTCAGGGTGCCGGGGCCCTGGGGTCTGGATCACTTCGCGCACGCTCTGGAACAAATTCTGGAAAGCTCCTCGAAAGGTCTTGGACGGTGGCCGGGGATAGACCCTCCCCAGCCCTAACTGCACCTCCATCCTGGAGGTTGGCTGAATCTTTGATCTAATTTCGCTTCCCTATCTCCCCTTTTTTGATCAGAAGAGTTCAACAGGCTGTGATGATGCAGTCGCCAGCAGCTAGCTGCCCACCTGCAGAAAGCTTCGGAGGAAAAAATAACTTGCAAGAGAAAAACAAAAACAAAATAAAACAAAACAACCCAAAAGCAAAAACAAAAGAAGCAAAATGCACTCGGCCTCAAAGATTCATGCAGAAGAAGACACAAACTGGGCAGTATCAACCCTGCTTAGGCTCTCAGTCTGTCCCTGTATACTTACAGGGTAGACTCACAGGACGCTCAAAAATTTGGGGACAAGGTCCTCTGCCTTCCAAATTCAATGTACAGTGAGCAGGTGCAAATAATAATTGGATTATTTTCTTTGGGTTTGTTTTGCGTAAAACTACTGAAGCCCTGAGAATCTTTTCATCTTTTGATTTTTGACTCCGCACTCTTGAGTGGGGGTTGGGGAAGGCAGGAGGTGGGGAGGGAATGTAAGGAAGAAGGGGCACTCCCTGCGTGCTACTTAATGAGCCAGGACCTGACTGCAGCGCTGACCCAAGCCGCTCCCCTATCTCCAGGTTCCCAAGAGCCTTCTTTGCAACGTGCTGCTAGTTCACCAACTCTCAGCCTAAGGGAGTTAGCTCTCTGCAAACCGGAGGACAGCTCTGTGCAGACTGGGGTTGGGGGGGGGGGGTTAAAGGGGAGAGGTGCGGGCAGACCGAGAGTAGCAGGCAGAGGCAGTTGTGGGAGTGGAGACAGGGGTGGGGGTGGAGGAGAGGAGGACAAAGGAAGCGGTCAGTCCTACCCGGCACTTTCCTGGCTTCCTTCTAGTCTCTAGTAGCTTTTAGAAACTTCACCGAAAAGGAAAGGGCAGCTCCAGGGCGGCGGCTTCGAAGCCGCCGCGCTGCAACAGGCGTCGGCAGCAGTCAGAGCCGATCAAGGGCTGGCGCGGTGTGTTCCTTTGGCTCCTGTTCGACACCCGAGCGGCTAATTTGATCTTTTTCTCTCACTCGCCTCCTCCGTCTCCAGGTTTGCTCCAGAACCCTCCAGCTCTCCCAGCAGTCTGGCTCCCTGGGATCTCCGAGGAGGCGCAGGGAGGTGGAGAGCAAATGCAACAGTTTGCGAGTCGGTCCCGCCCCCGCCAGGCGGGCCTCCTTGCCTTCCCACCTCCTTTCTCCTTCCCCTCCCCTTTCCGTTTCTCCCCTCCCCTCACCACAAGCTAGCTCTGTGTGGCTTTGGATAGACAAGTGCTGGCTCACGGTAAGTAAAGGCCAGAGAAGCACGCCCAAGCCCTAAGAGATCTCTGCTCCTGTATAACCCTACTTTCTTGTAGTACACTTTAGGCACCAGAGCTGAAGGCTTAACCCGGAGCTTCATTTTAAGGATAGGGCAACCAGATGTTCCAATGACCAGCGTTCACCAGATTTGATCTAAAGGCCATTCCAAAACAGAGGCTTGTTGAGGAAGTGGGTTGGAGTGCTTACTAATGTCTGCCAGGGGTTCTTTTCAGGGCGTATAGGGTCCTATACAAGGGAAGGTCTCCACAAAATTTTTTAAGGGGCAAACTACAGTCATGCTAGTAGATACCTAGTAAAACCTTTGCGATTCTTCCAAAGGGGAGAATTGGATTTGTTGGCAAGGTACCATTTGCTCTAGGAACCCTCAGACCCGGGAACCAGAGTTCAATTATTTCTACTCTGTTCTCTGACCTTTTTTCTTGTCTGGAATTGCCTCTAAACAGCATTTCTCACCTATCCAAACTTGCAAAGGACAAACTCATCCAGACAAACATGCAAACACACAAACAACAGAAATATGTGCCCTGTACACATGCTTGCTTGTTTTTTCTCAGACTTTTGCAAACATTTACTTTCATACAAGCTAGTGGATGTCTAGGCTGCTTTTGCATATTTTAAGTTTTTTAAGGGTCCAATCCAAGAAATGCAACCAATATATGGCTGACTTATGGAGGAGTTCCCGCAGCTCCTGTGTAAAGATGAAGAGACAACAGGGAAAGGAAAGAAAGAGAAGAGGGAGAAGGAAGATGTCATAGTAGAAAAGCCCTGGGGCTTTGTACATTTTAAATTCCTTAGATCTCTGCATCTGAACAGCGTCACTGTGTTGCAAATGGCACATGGAGATATTTGTTTGAGATCCCTCCACATTTTACAGACTTTTACAGAAGAAAAAAATATAGCTTTATTCAGTGTAGCACAGCAAAACATCAAGGATATTTACTAAATTTGACCAGAGGAGGTAACTCAAACCTAGAAGCAAAAAAGAGTGAGAATGATCAGCTTTGTTTTGCAGATGAATAAGCAAAAGCAAGGATATAATTTGTTCCTGTGATCCGTATTAGAAAAACTTAAACAGTCTTCCACCTCACTGCTGTATTAACTAGACTCATCAATCTCATGGGTACCTGGGAAATGGCTATAAATGAATCTGCTAGAATATAAAAGGCCTGAAGACCTTTTCACTTAAAAGGAGTTGAAATTTTCTCTGTGAGATTTTAATGGTTGCGGCCCTACCTGGGCATATTCAATCATACCTTTTTTTGTGTGAGGTATCTCACAGATGACTCAATATGCTAAAGAAATAATCTTATAAAACTTATATTTTAAAAATAAGTCTTAGCCAGGCATGGAGGCACACAGTTGTAACACTCTGGGAGGCTGAGGCAAGAGGCTCACAATATAAGCCCAGCCTGAGCAACTTAATGACTTAGTAAGAACCTGTCTCAAAAAGGGCTAGGAATGTAGTTCAGTCATAAGCTCGGTCAAAAGTCATGAGTCAACCTCCAATATCACAAAATAAATAAATAAAATAAAGACGGTAAATAATTGTCTAAGGTTACCCTTTGAATTAATGGCAGTCCAAGAAACATTCAAATCCAGGTTAGAAGGATTCTAAAGTTTATGTTGCCTTCACAGCACCAAAATTGTCTTCATAGTTTTCTCATCAGAAAATTATAACTAATTGGTTTTTCCCCCAGAAAGATGTTATAAAAATTAAAAGATATATGTCCAGAACAATTTTTAAATAGGAAAGCATTCTGAAAATCAGAGAAATCACTCTTTTTATCGTGGAACAAACTATCAACAATTGCATCAGAATCAAGAAAGCAAATTACGTAAGCATTACTAGGGGCATATATATGATTGATTGATTGACTGACTGATTGTAGTACTAGGATTTTTGCATTGAGCTATATCCCCAGACTTTTTTTTTTTTTTTAAGTTTTCGAACAGGGTCTCACTAAATCACTAAGTTGGCCAGGTTGGGTTCTAACTTGTAGTCCTCTTGCCTCAGCCTTTAAGAGTGCTGGGATTATAGATGTGTGTCAGCAAACCCAGCCATTATTTGAATTTTAAACTCTGATCTCCCCTTCTCAAATCTTAGTTTCCTCATATTATTGTTAAGATAAAAAGAATGCTAAAAAAGGATCTTACATAAATTTAGTATGCGTACCACTTTAATTTTCTTTCTCCACTTCGTTTTTTTGCAATTTTTAAAGCAGTATTAGTGGTATCCTCTCAGGTCAGTCCAGTTGTGACTAAATTTCTACTATAGGTTTTCTCTACAACTTCAAGCAGATTTTGTGAATGTAATATTCCCTTTTTGTCCTCTGGAAAACCAGAATAAACTGATCTTTGTAAAATGTTGGATAGTTGTCAAGTTCTATGAAATTTATTTTCCAAATTTGTCGCAAATCTGGTTACTTCTTTTCATGTCTCCTATTTCTAAACTGATTCAAGGGTTTTCTTTTCATGCAAAACCACTATAAAAGATCTCCCTGCATCTACTCTTACTTTATTATAGTGGGTTCTAAATTCGGCATTCAGAAGTATGTTTTAAACAACTTTATTAAGGTATAATTAACATGCAATAAATTCCATATATTTAAAGTACAAATGGCTAGATATTTGGAAAGTATTAATAGCATACATGCATCCATGAAGTGATCACCCAATCAAGAAAGTGAATGAAGGCATCCATCATTTTTAAAGTTTATTCTGTTTTTTTCCCTCTACCTCACTCACTCAGGCAAACTATAATTGATATGCTATCAATATAGATGATTTTTTATTTTCTAGAAATTTATAGCAATGAAATCATATAATATGTGCTCTTTTTCTGTCTTTATCTTTCATTAAGTATATTGCCTATGAAATCCATTCAAGCTGTTACATACAGCACTACATGATTCTTTTTTCTATATTGCTAAGCTGTATTCTCCTGTGTTGCTGATGTTCAAATTTGTTTATTCACTCACTTTTTGAAAGACATTTGGATTTGCTATAGTTTGAGATTACTTAAGTGAATATGCAATGAACAGTCATAGCAAAGTTTTCTTATGGACATAGGCTTTTCATTTCTCTCAAGTAAATAAGTACTTAATCGTGGAGTGGATGAGCCACAGGGTAGGTATACATGTACTATTATAGGAAACTGCCAAACTGTGCTCAAGTGGTTATACCAGTTTACATTTTCACCTACATATGAGAATTCCTGTTCTAGATCTTCACCAATGTTTGGAATGGTTAATATTTTTAACTTTAGCATTTTAGTTAGATGAAAATATTTCTCATTTAATTTGCATTTATCCAATGAGTAACATTATAGGATATTTTAGGTATCTGTTTTTCATTCATATGTTCTCTTAGGTCATCATTTTTCTAAAAATTTTTTACCTGTTTTTAAAAATTAGTCAACTTCTATTTTATTATGAAAACTTTTAGAGTAATTTATTTGCTCTGAAAAACGCTATGGGGCCAAGGATATAGCTCAGCACCTGCCTGGCAAGCACAAAGTCCTGAGTTCAATCCCCAGTATCAAAATAAATAAATAAATAAAATTTTAAAAACAACCTATAACAGAAATAAGACCTAAGAATATTGTTCTTGTCCTTTTATTTATTGTCTCACCAATGTCTTTAAAGAGCAGACATTTTTAATTCTGATCAAATCCAGTTTATCAGTTTATTCACTTATGGATTATACTTTTGATATTTGAGCTAAGAAATATTTTGTTAACTCCAGATCGTAAATATTCCTGTCTTTTTTTCTCCTAGAATTTGTATAATTTTCATTATTATAATTAGGTCTACAATACATTTGTAGTTGCTTTTTATATACAGAGATTGTTTTCTACATAAAATACTTTTAGCACCTTGTATCTAGATTATTCTTTCTCCACATATTTCCTTATGGACCTTTGTCAATTATCAGTTTTCAGTGTGTATATGTATTTAGAGTTCCTTTAGAAAATAGAATGTGTCCATATCATTTCCAAACTTCAATTGTTACGGTTTTCCATTACCGTTAGTACAAAAGTCCAAAATTTTAACCACACCCTACATTATTTGCGTTTTCTCCACCTCTTTGACTTCCTCTCTTACTACTTTTCTTCCTGTTTTTTGTTTGTTTGTTTTGTTTTCTTTGTTTTGGCAATACCAGGGATCAAACACAAGATCTCACAGCAGGCACTTAAACCACTGAGCTAAATCCCCAGCACACTTCCTGCTTTCTGAGCTTTACTCACACTGGCTTTTATTCCTCAAATGCTTCCAGTCTTTTCTATCTCTGTATATGTTATTCCTGTTACCTGAAATGATACTTCATCCTTCTCTCCATTCATCTTTTAATGTCTACATCTTTGGACAGTTCCAGGAAGACTTCTTGCACTTCTTAAACTAGCTCAAGTCCCTTCCCCTTACTTTTTAATGTATTTTAACACCCAGTGTTTCTCCTTCAGAAGATTTACAACAATGTTTTCTTTTCAGTGAACTGTAAATTTCTTGTTATTTATTTATTTACTTATTTATCTATCACATGCTTGCAATACAGAATAGTGATATCTATTTGGAAGGGTTGGTACATGCATATAATCATATCATGATCACAGCAAGGACTGGATTTTTTTGTTCATTATTGAATTATTGAGAATTATCTTGCAATGGTACAGTTTTAGTGAGCGATAAATATCTGTGTAATAAATAACTAGATTTTGTTCCACAGAATTAGATTTGTATTTCCAAACTAAAAGTTTAGTTTTGGGGGTTTGCAAATACCCTTATTGTTTTGATATGCTAAGTATTATAATAAACTGGTTTTTCAATTTACAAACAAAGAAGA